GACACGGGACCTGGATATGTGCTGGACACAAACAGGTCAAATGTCATCTAAGTGCCCATCTTGGACTGCCCAGGTATACACTCTGCCTACCACTCTGCCTTCTCTCTCCCTGAGTCTGCACTCCTAACGTGCCACCATCATCCCCGCTCCTGCTCAACGCGAGGAGACGAAACATTGCCTGGGCTCGCACAAGCCGCGCAATGTTTGAGCCCATTCTTGCAGCCACGGTGTCCATCCATCTTCTCACTGCCGTGCACTTTACCGATTGGGGTGTCCTTCCCGAGGACAGGCCCTAAATCAGCAAGACAAAGTCTCCGTCATCATTGCTTTGGAGGAGCGTTCTGGCTGCACTTTCGCTAAGATTGATTTCGGGGTCCCTCAGGGCTAGCCACTATTGGTTGCCAAGACTACAATCAGAAGACGTGAGTTCTGCTTCAATCTTCCTGTTTCACTGTCCGGTTTTCACAGGCAAACGAAGCAATTGAAAATAACCCGGCTTGGGTCAGGTGCACCTCCGCCATCAAAGTGGCACCGCTCCCTTTTAAGACATGAAGGAGGTCTTTTGCATCCGATTACCCTCCTCCATAGCACTCAGTTCAACACTTAACTGTGTTCTGAGTGTTTCCTATTAGCTTTTAGGTTTGCAGTAAATTACCAAACAAAATTGAGTCAACGGCCCATGAGTTGCTTCCAGCACATGACTACCCCATAGGTTGCACAGTGGAACTGCAGCCCCTAGGGTTTTCTGGGCAGTGACTTTCAGAAATAGACCACCAAGCCCTGCTTCCAAGTGACGTTGAGTGGGTCCAAACTGCCAACCTGGTGGTAAGTGGTCAAGTGCTTAACATTTCCACCATCAAGGCCTTCCTTTAGAAAGCACAGTGAGAGAGCTGATAGCAAGGACTCAAGCAGAAGGAAAATGTTTTGAAAGCGATGATGGCAGCATATGTACAAATGTGTTTGATGCAAGTGATGTATGGATTGTTATAAGAGCTTGTAAAAGGCCCAAATAAATGACTTATTTAAGAAAGAAAGAAAGCACAGTAATGCTCAGCCTTGGCTGAACACTGGCACCTCCAGAGGAGCTTTCAAATACCCCAAAACCTTGACTCCTTGGCCCACAAGGAGACTCAGACGGTACCAAGGTCAACTGGCAAAACATAGTCCACAAAGACAATGCTCTTGTGATAGTTGGGTTTTTTGTGTCAACATGGCTCCCGTAGGAACGTGTGGGTGAAATTTAGCCTGTCAATCAGGCCGCAGTTTGAATGGAGGGCAACCGGGATAAATGTCTCTCTCAGGCTGGCCTCTCTCTCTCTTTCTCCCTGGAGGTGGGCCACACTCCCTCTCTCTGCTTCACCTTCCTGTCAGTGAGCCACGCAGCTGAGACCTGCCAGAGTCTTGTGATGCCTCCCTGCCATTGGCTCCACAACACCCACCGGCTTGTGATCTTCCTGCATTCTGCATCATTGCATGTAGCTGTGTGAGTCTGAAGAGGGATTTGTGGACTAGTATCAGACTTATGAACTTGATTTGGACTGAGCTGGGATGTTTTCTTAACATCCCAATGATTCCTGATATAAAGCTCTTTCTTACACATACATGCGTGTCAGTGATTTTGTTTCTCTGGTCAACCTGGCCTAACACAACTCTACACCCCACTCTGCTGAGCAGCAGCTGGAATCTTAAAAGCTTGCAAAGACCCAACTCTGGGTCTCGCCTCCTCTGGAACAAAGGAGAACGAAGAAAATCAATGACTCAGGAAAACGATTCATCCAAAGGACTGGCAGACTGTGACCACCACAGCCTCCACTCTCCTGAGACGATGAACCAGCTAGTGTCTGGTCACCACTGCAGCCTCTCAGATCAGGATCACCACAGAAGGCCCTGGACACAGAGGAAGAAAAAGAGAGTAGGGAAACATTCAAAATACTAAAAAAGATCAGAATAACTGGTCTGATAGAGAATGGTTGAACCCCCACAACAGTGGCCCTTAGACATCCTGCAAGGCGGGGGATGAACCCACGCCCCAAGAATCAACTGTTAGCCCAACAGTAGACAAGCCTCTAAAGTGAACCATAGCCCCAGGAGGAGGAGTCCTCAGTAAAACCAAGCCCCTGGGACTGAAAGGGCTGTGTTTACTCAAAAGCAGAGCTCAGGAGGCAGGAGCGAAGGACCCATGGCAACAGGGAGGAAGTGGACAGAGTGCTGGCAGTGTGGAGATTGCAGTCAAGGTCATGAAACAAAATCTGCATGGCTTGTTGAATGGACAGCAAATTTGCTTTATAAGCTTTCACCTAAAAGACAATAAAATGTAAAACAACAAACAACCTCAAGCACTCAATGCCAAGCCACACACCAGGCGGCCCTGCAGGGAGAGGGGCCCAGGCAGCAGCTGTCAAAGTCCCCCATGTGGTCCCGTGTGCAGCCAAGATCAAGAAACACATGCCTAGAAAAATATGCTGCTGGAAACGCCTTGTTGGTTCAGGCAGTTGTGTGGGGGGGGAGGGGAGGTGTCGTTGTGAGCGATGGTGACACAGAGGAAAAGAGGAAGGTTGCCTGGCATTGACACAATGCCAGGGTTCCTCAATCTTGACACAATTGGCATTTGGAGCCAGGTAAGTGTTTAGCGTGAGGGGCTGCCCTGTGCATTTCCGATCTTTAGCAGTATCCCTGGTGGTGCAGTGGTTACGAGTTGGGCTGTGATCCACATGATCACCAGTTTGAATCTACCAGCAACTCCGAGGGAGAGGCTGGGCTTTCTACTCCTGTAAACTGTTACCATCTCAGAAGCCCCGGGGGTCACGGTAAGCCCGCCTGGACGGAATGGCGGTGAGTTTGGGTTGGTATTTTGGGTCTCCATCACTACCAGAGAAGAGGTTCCTGCTGTTTCAGCCACCAGCTTTGTGATCATTGGCTATGGCTGCCTTGGGAAATGAATGCACTAGTGAAGGGGAATAAAGATGGGTTCAAAACTGTGAAATCAGGGGGGTGACCCCAGAAGCCAGGAAAAGGCGAGTGATCAGACAAAAGGTCTCAGAAGGGTGGGTGCAGGGGCCACACTGGAGCCAACCACAGCTGCATTTTAAGGTCACAAACCTTGTACTGGAGGCTGAGGTGCACCAAGGCAAACCCACCTGCCGCCCTGCTCCATCGGCTCAGTCAGACAGACGCAGTTCCACCACCAGCAGGGCTCGAAGCAGCTGGGGTCAGCAGCTGTGTGAGAACCCACCAAGGCTTTGGGGTTCAGCATAGCCTGTCTCCTGAACACAAGACAAAATCCTAACCCATAATAATTGTGCCCTTGTCCACCTCTCCAGTACCCACCCACCAGCACCCTATACATTCTGGGGTGCCGCTTCTTTTTCTCCCACGCAAGACACACACACAGAGCTTCCCAGCCTGGTTTTTATACTGCTCTGCATACCAGGCATCTGCTTACTTCCCTTCTGTCTCCACCACCAACGCCAGACACCTCAGCCTGCTCCTCTGTGCGGCCCGGCCACAGCTCCCGGGTGTCACAGCGGCAGGAGCAGCTGTACTTTGCTAAGCACTGTTTTAAGGGCTTTCAGCAAATTATTTTCTACTCCTAAAAGGGTTATTTTATATATTTTTTAACATTTTATTAGGGGCTCATACAACTGTTATCGCAATCCATACACACATCAATTGTGTAAAGCGCATTTGTACATCGTTTCTCAAAACATTTTCTCTCCACTTAAACCCCCGACATTAGGTCCTCATTTTTCCCCTCCCTCCCCGCTCCCCCCTCCCTCATGAGCTCTTGATAGTTTATAAATGGGTATTTTGTCATATCTTGCCCTGTCCGACGTCTCCCTTCACCCACTTTTCGGTTGTCTGTCCCCCAGGGAGGAGGTCACACACAGTTCCATGTAATCGGTTCCCTCTTTCCTACCCATTCTCCCTTTACCATCCCTGTTTTGCCACTCACACCACTGGTCCTTATAGGGCTCATCCATCCTGGATTCCCTGGATTTTCAGTTCCTATCTGTACCAGTGTACCTCCTCTGGTCTAGCCAGACTTGCAAGATCGAATTTGAGTCATGGTAGTGGGAGCAGGGAGGAAACATTTAGGAACGGGTTATTTTATATTTTTATGGATGATCAAACTCACTGCCATCGAGTTGATTCTGACTAATGGTGTCTCTCCAGAGCAGGGTCGAACTGCCCCGGTGAATTCTATTCTTTATGGGAATAGATAGCCTCACCTTTCTCCCGAGGAGCACCTGGAGGTTTCGAACTGCAGATCTTAAGGTTAGCAGCCCAACTCGTAACCACTACACCACCAAGGTGGATTATAACACAACTTATTATCATCATCATGCCCATTTTATAGATGAGAAGACGGAGGCACCGAAGGGTGAGGTGTCCCACCCCAAGGTCGCAGACTTAGAAATCCAGAGTGTCTGACATCATCCAGCAGAACTGTAGGTTAAGATCAGCCTCTTTAAAGAAATGATCAGGTTACTCACATGCATCTGCAAATGAGCGCAGACGAAAATTGCTGCGGGCTCTTCCCGGCCTCCACACGGAGCCGCAGCTAAGAGACATGGAGCCCAGAGCCTGGGCCACAGAAACGGCTCCCCAGACCTCCCCGTGTCACGCAGGGTGAGTAAATGATCTCAGGGTTCAGCCTTCCGTCTGCCAAGGCCGGGACAGACACACAACAGGCAGAACCAACCAGGCCCCGCATGGCAGGGTTAGTGCCCCACAGTCCCGGCATGGTAGTTCAGCGAAAGCAGGCTGGTGGGTACCATGAACCCAGACAGCAGAGCTGAGACCAAAGGTCAGGGTGGAATCCCAACCAGCAGCTGGGCAGAGTGGGGACCCAGCAGTGTTGCCCAGGAATGCCAGCCCAACTCCTCTGACCCCGAGGGAGGAGGGAGGAGGTAGGCTGGGATGAACGCCTAGCAACAGCCCCCAGCCCACCACCATGCGCCCCTCTGGTGCCCGCTGCTGTGGACCAGCCACACACTCACCCGCATTGGCTCGTCGGGGAACCCAGGCTTGCTCGGGGGCCGCTCCTGCCTCCGGCTCCTCAGGAGCTGTTTGGCCTGCTTTTCTGCCAGAATCGGGGAGGCCTCTGGGAAAAAACGCAGGGTTCAGCCACGGGGAGCTCAGCTCCATGCCACAAACCCCAAGACCACAGATTTGCAAGTTCCATGGGGAGGCACACACAACAGTTCTTTTAAGGGACCTGTCCCAAAGCCAGGCATTCCACCGGGCTCCAGAGGAATGTTGAGCTGTTTCTACCAGGAATGCCTCGGAGCAAAACCTAAACAAGGACACAGGATTACCTATTGCAATATTCTCTTCCTTTGAAAAACACCCCGACACACGGAGACCCTATAAGACAGAGTAGACCTGCTCTGGTTTCAGAAGCTATAGGTCTTTCCGGGAGCAGACTGCCACATCGTTCTCCCATGGAGTGACAGGTACCCCTTTAATGCCTGGTGAAACATAGTGTCTTTTCAGTTCTCTGTCCAAGGTTTTTCACCTTCCCCCAGGCTTTGCCTGGATGGGACTTTTTCTAAAGTCTCCCAAACAATAATCAATTTTAAAGCTGCTATTGGGAGGTGACAGTGAGCTAAAATTATATGTGATCATCACACAGAAACCAGACAAGAAGCTATCATGACAACAACATGGTACAGATGCTTTATAATCATGCACAAACGCTGGACCATATTAGGTTCCTGCACAGCAAAACAATAAAACAAAAAGATAAATGAGGATACATTCGCTGCGGATCCTCTCATATGAACTGTGAAAGAAGGTATCGTCTACCGTGTGTCCGCTTCTTGGAGAATTTGGCTCAAATATGTTCCGGCTTTGTTTTTCAAGAGCCATCATGTAACCCTAATGGTAGCAATTCTGAAAGCCTGTGCTGGGGGGGTGGGGGGAGGCAGGGAAGAAGGGGGAACCAGCATTAGCGAATCAGTCCACCACACACTATATAGGATTTGAAACTTTTAAGAACTATGCTATAGATGAGTCTTGCCATTTATCATGCAGTCAGAAAGAGGCCAAAGTGGTGGCGTTAATACCTACCTGGTGGGGTCCAGAGGAAGGTGAGAGAGAGAGCGAGCACAAGCCACTTCTGCATCCTGCCAGGCTCCGCTCTGCGCCGGGGGTGGAATGAATGTGCAGGGTCAGAGCCCGTCTGCGTGTGAGAGCCACGTGAGGCCCGATGCGTGTTTACACGTCCACCAACGGGATGGATGGGAGGATGGGAAACCCAGCTGGCTCCCAGATTTTAATGTGGTGATTAGAATATTTTCCCCTGAAATCCTGACATGTTTTTCATCCTGCGGAAAGAGAGAGCCTGCGATAGCAGTTTCAAAGGCTGAGTTTAAAACAGCATGTGACACCCTGTTTCTTTAAGCAGGTATGCGGTGCAGGGCCTTAGGAACATCGCTTCAGTGGACCTTCCTCCTGTGGCGCTGAGAAGTAACTCATTGTCTCTTGTAATTCCAATTTTATGACACCCCCACCCCCCAAAGCCCTTTCACCAGTGTAATCTGATCTTCCCCGTAACCAACGAGCTTAAGGCTGGAAAAGTAGCAAGGAGTAGGACTGGGGTAGAGAGGTATTAAGTGACCATGGAGGCAGAAAGATCAAGGTTCAGTTCCTGGCTCCATCCCATTCCTCCAGCATGTGGTTGTGAAGTTGATGTCAACTCACAAAGACCCTGAACTGTGCCAGCAGCTTTAGGAGAGTGAGTGGCCACGTCTTTGTCCAGCAGAGCTGCCCAGTGCGTTCCAACAGGCAACCTTTCGGTTAGGAGTCCAGCACCGAACTGCTGCACCCCCAGAATTCT